TAGTATTTTGGGCTTTTATTTATACTTGGTTCCATATACATGTTTGTTCAGCAATGCATTATATGTGGTTGTCTAGTGGATCTATAAGACCGGGATATGATAGATGGGCAGAGCATTAGCCAAGCAACACCAGATGTCAGCTATAATTTCATTTCTCAGTTTTTAGTCTAGTAGACTAATTGGTGGGTGAGACTCAAAGCAAAACATCTTCAGTCATATATGATAACATTAACAAACACTTATTAATGTTTCTAAGGTTGAAGCCTCCAAGGTTTGAGGGCAATGTTGAGTCCAAACTCCAAAGCAATAAATGACATATTGATGAAATTAAAAAAGACTTTGGTGGGATGTAGTATTTGTCACGACCAACCCGATTAGACTCATAGATTGGACAAATCTTATTGTGTTGGCTTGTAACTAGCAAATCCTAAGATATAGTTTTGAATTATTTATTTCAAAATTTTCTTCCATAAATTTTAAAACAACAATTAATACAAAATTATTATCAACATCCAATATACTTAAAATAAACTCATCCAAAAAATAATATTTCATTTATCATCCAATGTAACAATCACAATGCATGGCTATAAACAAAATTATTGAACAAAGCAATAAAATTAGTCATGTTATTCAAAAATTAAAAGAAGAAATACATCTAGTGACTCAGAACAAAATCCTAAAACTGCTAATTAAGGGCTCTTTCCATTTGAAAATAGAATGTAAAATATACGAGAGCTAACATAGCTCAGCATGACACAAATATTGATCTAAAATTTTAAATAATTTATATTTTTAATATTTATAAGAAATATTAAATACAACATAATAAATTCTTGTACAGAGCAAGAATAATAATAGCAATTATCCATAATTTAACTAATAACGCTGAGAAAATTAAATAAATAAGAATGTTCAATTTCATATCATAGAACTGAAAGTAACATATTTTCTTCTTTCCTACATCGAGGTAAGGACATTATGTTATATAGGTTGTAGTAGATCATTTGACAAAGTCTGTACACTTTGTTTTGATATGATAGATTGCCTCAATGAATAGATTGGCTCAATTTTTTGTGTGAGAGATAGCCTGGCTATAAGGAATATTGAAAGTGGTCATCTCTGATATAGATGATAGATTTACCTCTAAGATGTTGAGAGGTATTTAGCAAGGTTTGGGCACTAAACTATGCTTTAGTATTGATTTTCATTCGTAGACTTATAGACAGTCTGAGAGTGCTATTTAGGTATTGGAATATATTTATGCGATTTTTTTTTTTTTGGACATTGTCGAAAGTTGAGATGATCATATACATTTGATTGAATTTGCCTACAATAATATTTTTTAATTAACTTTAGGTATGACTTCTTAGGAAGTAGTGCATGGTAGGAAATGTAGAACCCTCTATCATGGATAGAGATAACTGAAAGGAATTTGATTAGGCCAACCTTAGTGGATGACATAACTTAAAAAAATTCATCTAATCAAAGATATATTAAAAGTTGTATTGGACATGTAGAAATAATATTATGATGTAAATTAGAGAGCCGTGGAATTCCATCTTGGATATTTCGTATATGTGAATATCAGATAGATGAAAGGTATCACCAGGTTTGAAAAAGAAGAAAAATTGAATTTAAGGGACATTGTACCATTTGAAGTAACTGAGAGGATTGAAAATATGCATAAATATTTCAATTGTCGGAGCATATATCTTATATTTATAATGTATCCCATGTGTTGTATTTGAGAAAATAGATATCTATTTGGGGAATCAAATATCTGCAGATGAAGTTGAGGTATGTCCTAATATTAGTTGCAAAGAATAAATATAAAGAATTATACCATACGATGTTTGATTATAGTGGAAGCACAAAATAAAAGATAAGCTATTTGGGATAAGAAATCTAAAATGAAACAATTATATCCTAATCAGTTCTAGTGATATGAGTTTTGGAATGCCAAGGATGATATTTTTTAGGAGGGGAGGATTGTAATAATTATTAAAATAGTAATTAGTTTCACTTATTATGACCCAATATGTTCATACAAATCATTAAATGTTTGTATTTAATACCTCATGCAAGTGTTTGTGAGTGTTTTGTATGCATGTGAATATTTGAATCTATTCTAAAGCGAGTTTTGAGGATCTGTGTTCATGACTTGAAAATCTAGAAGTTTTCTTTTATGGTGTTGCGGTGCTGAGGAATGTGGAGTTGCAGCGCCTTGCTCTCTAGTGGAGAGTGCTACTGCGCGCGGTAGGGCCGAGATAACTCACTAGAGGAAGGATGATTTCTAGCGAGAGAAAGTCAGGATTTGAACAAATTTGGTTCATAATTTTGTATTGTAATATTTTGAATTTTCCTTATTAAATTCCGAATTTTGTATTGTAAAAAAGACAATAACTTTGCACTTGCTAAATTTCAGTTGTGTAACTCTCTATATGTTGTAGAGTTAGTAATTCTTAATATTCATGTATTCTCTAAGAAATTTATATCAGATAGATTGAAAATTATGTTATTTTACTCAACTAGAAAATAATTTTGACCCTTGAAAATAATATTGTAGTGTACTTAAAGATTCAAAATAACATTTTAAACAATCTTTGATAATTTGGTGACATTCACATCTATTGGGTATTGTCTACTTCATTTCATTTATATATAATTAATATTATGCTAAGCATGATAAATTTCTTATGAACTGTCTTTATATTTGGTTAAATGCAAAATAAGCAAATTATTAAAAATTTAAATCTCTGGGTGTGGTGTACTTAGTTATGTTGACTCACATTAGATTTGAGTAAAGGAGAAGTGCTTGTTAAGTAACCAAGTATTCAAGATTTTATCTTTTTTAGCTTGTGGAGGTATTTTTTTTTATTTTTATACAATAATTATTATGTTTTGGTCAGTATTCATGTAATATAGTGTATAAATATTGTATATATATATTGATGATTAAAAAAATATGATGAGTTTATTTTATTCTGCTTAATGAAAATTATTTAGCAACCATATAGTTGGTGTAATTTAGAATAAAACTAAAAAGCACCCCTAAA